CTTCTGCGCGGCCCGGTGTCGGGCTGCGGCTGCCGCCGGAGGGCGGCGGCGTCTGTGATGCCGGGGGTGCCTGCAGGACGGGTCCCTTTGTCTTCTGGAGGGCGTTTTGGACACAAGTCGTTGTGCTGAATGAGCGGGGCTTAGGGGCCTCCTTCACCTGGGGATACAGCGTCTGCTGGAAGCGCTTTTGGTAGATAATAGTGTGACCAGACCTGCTGGTGTTGAATGTGGCCATTTCTGCACTCCATCTGCTTGCATTCTGGACATTGCTTGGGCTCTGCTTAGGATGTTTTAAGGTGATGAATATACAGGGGCAGCACCTGTACAGGGAGGTAAATAAAGATCAGGAAAGATATCAGGGGAAGTGGCAGAAAGATACTTGGAGATTTGATTAATGCTTCAAGTGCTACCTCATTTTATTTTTTAAATAAACTGCAAATACAAAAGCAAATTTAAAACATGAGGATTTTTTTCTCTTCAGGTTGACAAGAACGCTGAGCTGGTAGCCAGGTGGCACTACTGTGCTCTGAGCCAGGAGAAGCTGCGTCGCCCCATCGTAGCCTGTGAGCTGGGCAGGTAGGGATGCCCCTGGGAAGCCCCCTCTGATGCAGAAAAGAATGTTATGGGAATCAAATATGACGCCTAAAAATGTTATGTTACAGGTTGTATAACAAAGATGCCCTCATTGAATTTCTGCTGGACAAGTCACCTGATAAAACCCCAATAGAAGCTGCCTCCCATATCAAGAGCATTAAGGTAAACAGATGGTGTCTAATGTTAAGGTGTGCCATGGGAGCTGGGACATGCTGCACAGCCTGTTTGCTGGTGGGCTCACTGTGTGTTAGGAGTGTTAAAATCGGAGGAGGGGAAATTTAGGTTAGACATTAGGAAGAAATTCTTCACTGTAAGGGTGATGAGACCCTGGCCCAGGTTGCACAGGGAAGCTGTGGCTGCTCCATCCCTGGAAGTGTTGAAGGGCAGGTTGGATGGGGCTTGGAGCAACTTGGTCTAGTGGGATGTGTCCCTGCCCATGCCAGGGGGGTTGGAACTAGGTGATCTCTAAGGTCCCTTCCAACCCAAACCATTCTATGATTCTATCATTCTATGAAATGGTAAAGCACAGTGAAAAAAAACTTAGGAAATGTTATAATTGCTCAGGAGTTGTTAGTAAACTACTTAAGGCTTGCATTTTTATTTTGCAGAACGTCACAGAACTAAACCTTGCAGATAATCCAGCTTGGAGTGGTGATAAAGAGAGTATAAAAGGTGACAAATATGATGACATCCAGTCTGCACGTTTCATATGCCCTGTGGTGGGACTGGAAATGAATGGAAGACACAGGTCAGTATGTTTCTGGATTTTGTTTTTATAAATACTAAGCTAAACTGAATATAAACCAAGTAAAAATGTTTGAGTCAATAATGTTGTAACTCAGGTAGTTACTCAAGCCTTTGTGGGGAAGATTTGTCTTCCTGTCAGATGAGGGGGTTGATGAGGCTGCTAAGGGTCCTTTCATTTCACATTCAAGAAGAAAGATAAAAAGCCTTTCCTAAATTAATGTATGTATGTAATAAAGAAGTAGAGGGCAATGCTTGTAAAGAATAAGTGCCCTGCAAGTTATTTGGGGGCTAAGCCACAGGAGATTGGTATGGGCAAGCAGAGGGGGGTTAGATGAGACCTCCCTTTGTGTCACATGAAGCAGTTCTGCCTGTCGCTGTGCTAGGATCAGAATGGAGGTGGATTGTTTGTCTGTTCTAATCCTGCAATAATATCCGGTTTTTATTGGGCTGAGGAAGGACATTTCCTTGCATTCTGGTTTGGGCAAATAAGCAATTTCTTTTTCTGTTGAGTGAGAAGAGGCCAAGTTCACAGATTGACAGTTGCAAAGTCCTTCTTCCTGCAGATAGTGATTAGCTGGGAAATATTCAAATGGAATTAAAATAGATTGTGGTGAGGATTCCAGAGCAGCCTGTGTAGACCTATAGGAGAGGTACAAAAACATCTCAAGGGCACCTGTCCTGCTGTGATCCCTTTGAGAGATCATCATAAACCCATGCTGAATTATACTGACAATGAAACAAAAAATGCATTATTTGGTTTAATGTACCAAATATTTTTTTATTCTCTTCTTAACATTGTGCAAATGAGTAACTATCTACTTAAAGGTACTGGTACCTTGATCAGCTGCAAGAATTGTAAAGAGAAAGTTAGCTGTGTCCTGCTAGCCCATTACAGCCTTGTTTCTGTGCTTAATCCTGCTTCTGTGCAGATGTATCTCTTAGACACAGGGTTTCTTAAAAATGACTGTATGTCTTGTCTTTCCTTTGAAGGTTTTGCTTCTTGAGAAACTGTGGCTGTGTGTTCTCTGAACGTGCTCTCAAGGAAGTTAAAGCAGAAGCTTGTCACAAGGTGAGTTGTTTTATTTGATAAAAGATAAAATGTATTTATTCTAATCAAGACCTGTGAAAGAAAAACACTTTTGGCAAGTTGTTGCAGGTGATGTGCAATATTGTTAGTTAAGTTTAGCCTCATGTTGTGGCTTTCAGTGCTAATTTTGTTCTGGAATGGTGGTTTAGTCCTAGTGACTCTGCTTTCCTGTTGGCAGATACTGATTGATGCTGATTTATTCTTAATTAAGTTTTTTGTTTGCATGTAAATTTTTGTTGATAGGTGGGTGTAACTTGATTAGTAAATGCAGGAATTAGATGTTTTGTCCATGGTTTGGCCAGTCTGATAATCTTATAAAAACTAAACTAATCCCACATGTTTTATGGATTTTTTTTTTTAAATCAGTATTTATCACAGGTTCCTATTTGCATGCAGCTGTTTCCACATACATGTGAACTCTTCACAAGGGGATGTTTCTAGAAATAATGAAGTGGATATAATATCATCTAGTCTGTTACCTTTGCGTTACTGTATTTTTGCGCACCAAGACAATGGTAACTAGCTGGGAGAACATGTTTTAGTCCACATTTCCTTTTTTTGAAGCCAGATTGTTCGATTTTTATATATGTACTGATAGTGTTCTGTATTCAGAATCAAGAAGAGAACCAGAGCTTTTCTAAACAGGATAATGAGGAAATGGTTGCCAAGCTTTCTGGTAGCTAAGACTTTATTTATATCTAAAGCACTAATTAGCAGGATTTCCCCAGCACTTCCTATCTTTGTGTTAATGGGGCATAGAGTAACATGAACTAGAACTAATGAAGAAGAAAACAATAAAAATGAAGTGTTGTGTATTGTACAAATGCTGGGATTAGAATTTTTTGTTAAATCAATAGAATCCTCTTCTGATACTTGACAC